CCCACGTATCCTTCCACTGCTCACATCTCACCCTGACTAGGAAGCCTTCCCAGAACCTTCTGGAAGACCCCACGTATCCTTCCACTGCTCACATCACACCCTTGCTAGGAAGCCTTCCCAGAACCTTCTGGAAGACACCACGCATCCTTCCACCGCTCACATCTCACCCCGACTAGGAAGCCTTCCCAGAACCTTCTGGAAGACCCCACATATCCTTCCACCACTCACATCTCACCCCGACTAGGAAGTTTTCCCAGAACCTTCCAGAAACAGCTCACTGTGCTCTCCCTCAGATCCCTGAAGCGCCCTGCCCAGGCCCCCATCCCCACTCTGACCCACTGACCCCAGGGCCCTAGGCCTGCTTAGGTACAGACTTGGCTCTGCTGAGCCTGGGGAGGGAGAAGAATCACCTGGCACCCCCAAGACTGCTGGAAGCCATCCAAAGCCCCAAGCTGTGGCTAACCCCATCCAGACTCCCGCATGGGGTGAAAATGTTGAGAAACCTCTCTCAGATCGCAGGGAGTTGAGAAATGCTTGCCTCCCTTGTTCTAAGAAGGCAGAAGCGTCCAGAGGCCAGTGACCAGGTGCCGCCTTTGACTGCAGCTTTGGTGGGCAGGTGTGGGCATGGCAGGCAGGTGCTCCCCTGGGCAGAGGCAGGTGGGAAATGGAGGAAAGGGCAGTGTGGGGCTGGGAGACAGTGGAGGAGAAGATACCCAGAACTGCAGCCAGTGTGTGCGCCCTGGGCCTGAGGCTGGGACGCCCAGCGTGTGCGCCCTGGGCCTGAGGCTGGGACGCCCAGCGTGTGCGCCCTGGGCCTGAGGCTGGGACGCCCAGCGTGTGCGTCCTGGGACTGAGGCTGGGCCCCGAGTGACGTGCTGATGAGCTCTTGCCAGCCCATGGCCCGGCCACAGCCCCTCTGCCTCTATTATGTGGGAGTGGGGAGGAGAGGCAGCTGGGGAGTGCAGGGCTGGGGTTACCTTCCATCTGCAGCCGGTAGAGCATGGAGCAGCTGTCCACCACATCCAGCATGGTGCCACTGGCCTGCAAGCTGGGCAGGATCTGGAAGACAAGGCCGCAGGCGGCCGGGCCCAGGGGCACGGGTGAGGGGCCGTAGGGACAGCCACTCCTGGAGACTGCCCAGTGGAGCCATCGGCCAATGGGAACATCTCCACAGTCCCCCACCACCTCAACCATCAGGGCCATCCCCTTGCCCAGGGCTCCCGGCGCCACGAGGGGCACCCAGGGGGAGCACATGCCAGGCAGGCTCTGGCCTCATCACCTCTCATCCTTGAGGCACCTCCTGTCCCCAAGGCTCAGCCCTTGCTGTGGGAGATGCATCTCACCCACTCATGGTTCTAGACTCAGCTGCGCTCGGTGGGCCACCTGATCTACCCCTCACAGCACGTTTCAGCCTTTGCTTCTTATTACGAAATCCTGATGATCCCGGAAGGAAGCCTTAAACCATAGAGCAATTTCCTCTCTGCCTTTATTGTGTGTTTCTTTCTGGTGTTCGGACCCCAAAACCATGCATTTTAGTGATCCTGGATTCTATTAAGCCCTCACGGGGGTACCTGGTGGAGTCCCTGGGTGGTGCAAATGGTTAATGCACTCAGTTGCTTGCTGAAAGGTCAGAGGCTCGCATCCACCCGGAGGCGCCTCGGAAGAAAGGCCTGGCGATCTACTTCCAAAAGATCAGCCACTGAAAACTACATGGAACGCAGTTCTACTCTGACACACATGGGGTCGCCATGAGTCAGAATCGACTCCAACTGGTTTTACTGGTTTTGGGGATCCGTGGTAGCTGTGAGTCGGAAATGACCGGACAGCAATGGGTTTGGATTTTTTTTTTTTTTGGTAGCTGTAAGTCAGGCTTTTTATTTTTCTCTCTAAAGAACGCCTGTAGACAGAGCAGCTCACCTAGCAAAGCAAACCAATCTAGAACGCTCTAAAAACTCTGAGATGGCTGCGATTGTCCACCTCGATGTGTACATCGGTGCATGCTCACAGGGTGAACACAAACTTAACTCTGTCCACCACGTGCTGAGCTGCAACACCGCTTCTGGCAAACTTAACCGCAGGAGGTCTTACACAAGAACCGGTCTTCTCCAGCGGTTTGTTCTGGCTGGCTGGGAGGGTAACGATGACTCAGAGATCTGTTAGAGGCTAGAAGGTAATGGCTGTCATAAACCAAAACATGAGGAAAATGCAGACTTACATGGTTATCGAAAATGGTGAGCGCGGCCTCATAGTCACCCTGCAAAAACAGAGTTCCCGGGGTTCACACTTGTGCGTTGCAAACACACAAAGTGACTCCAAGGACTACGGAAGCATAACAGAAGGTAGAAAAGGATGCCCTTCTCCAACGTCGTTATTGGAATAAAAGGCACCGACCGTCTTCTTACCTTCTCGATCAGATATAAAGCCCAGTGCCAGTAGTTATGACAAGCCAGCATGTCACGGTCCTGGGGGAAGAATGAGGACGTGAGAGAAAAATCGGACTGCCTGACAACAAACACACGCGCTTGTTTAAAAACACTGCGGTGAGAGTTACGCAACAGGAAATTCACCATTTTAAAGTGAACAATTCAGTGGCATTTAGTACGGTCACAGTGTGGGGGAACCACCGCCTCTGTTTAGTTCCAGAACACTCTCATCACCCCAGAGGAGACCTTGTACGCATCAGCAGTCACTCCCCATCCCCTGCTCCTCTCAGTGCCTGGCCACCACCAACCCGCTTCTGTGTCTACGGATGTGCTTACTGAACGCTGTTGTCGGGTGCTGTGGAGTCGACCCCGACTCATAGCGACCCCATGTGACAGAGCAGAACTGCCCCATAGAGTGTTCTAGGCTGTAATCTTTACAGGAGCAGATCACCAGGTCTTTTTCCTGCAGAGCAGCTCGGTAGGTCTGAACCGCCAATCTTTCAGCTAACAGCTGAGCGCTTAGCCATCCGTGCTACCAGGGCTTCTTCTACTGAATGTAGCTCTGTGCTAATATGCAACCGCCATCTTTGAGAAGGAAGGAGAAGAAAATTTACCCAGCACCTGCTCTGAGAGGCAGCGATTATCACGCCTGAATTTACCAAGGAGGAAACTGAAGCTGAGGGAGGTTGACACCTTGTTAGCCTCAGAGCTGGACAGCGGTGCGCTAGGTCTACAAAGAGGAAGGTCTTTCGGCTCCTCAACTCCATCTTCTCTGCGTGTAAGGTGGAGATGATGAATAAAGATGCATTCTGCACTGTCACTGGGCCCCCTGTGTGCCAAACAGGGTGCTCGGATGAGACCAGGGGGACCCAGGACCATGGGCACACAGATGCCCGCTCAGGGCTGGGCTCACAGCAGGCGCTGGCGGCAGCCACCAGAAGTGAGGATGCCACTCTGTCCCAGCCTTATCTCTGTCCAAGGGGTCCCTGCGCTGAGAGCTCCTAGACCCGGGGAAGATTGATGACAAGGACCTTCCCCTTGAGCCGACAGAGAAAGAAAGCCTTCCCCTGAAGCTGGCACCCTGAATTTGGACTTCTAGCCTCCTAGACTGTGAGAGAATAAATTTCTGTTTGTTAAAGCCATTCCCTTGAGGTATTTCTGTTACAGCAGCACTAGATGACTGAGACCAAGTCCTAACCGCTATACCTGTGAGTGTGACCTTTTTGGGGAATGGAGTCTTTGAAGATGTTATCAGTTAGGTTACCAGGAGGTCATACTGATCCAATATGAGTGCCGTCCTTCCAAGAACAGGAGACACAGAGACACAGACAGACAGAGGAGAAGGCCATGTGAAGACGGAGGAGGAGACTGGAGAGATGTAGCCGCAAGCCAGGAATGCCTGGGACAACCAGGAGATGGAGGAGGCAAGGAAGGAGTGTCTCCTAGAGCCTGAGAGAACATGGCCCTCCCAACGCCTTGGTTTCAGGCTCCTGGCCTCCAGAGCTGTAAGACAATTAATCTCTGCTGAATTAAGGCACCTAGATTGTGGTGCTTGGTTACGGCAGTCCCAGGGAACTCATACGTCTCCCTTCTAGAAGGCTCACTGCAGATACCTCCTCCACAGCCTGGACACCACCTCTCCTCCCTGGGAAGAGGACCTGACAACTCCTCCAGCCTCCTCACAGCCCGTGTCCATCTTATACCAAACCACCTGGCTCTGTTCTCCCCACAAGGCCATCATAGGCTTTGGTGGCTTTGCTGGAGCTGGCCTTCTGCTGGAAGACCCTTCAACTCCTCCTTCTGCACCTGGCAAACTTCTACGCATCCTTCAATCCTCTGCTCGGATGTTGTCCTCCTCCAGGAAGCCTTCCCTGACCACTTCCCCCACAAGCTGGGTTGGGTTCGATGTCTTCTCTGGACTCTCACGTCCTCCGCTACAGCCCTGTCACAGTATAGCTCCCGTGCTGCTGGAGGATGGTCACTCTGAGAGGACAGGGAAGTCTGGGCTGGACCCTCTGTGGGGTACCTGGGGCTGGCACAGGCCTGAGGCAGGGACTGGAGACTTGCTGACTCTGCGTCTGCAGCCACACACCCAGGGCAGTGTAGGAGGCCGAGGACAGGGAGCCCGAGGCCACTGTGTCCGCCCGCAGGCTGTCCAGCCAAGCAGAGGCTGCCGAGAGTCAAGGCAGGGACAGACGCAGACAGCAGAGGACGAGGGTCTGCTCGGAGATGACCCAGCTGGCCTTGGCACCAACACCAACGGGCCAAGGCTGGCACAGTTGTCACATGGCCATTTTACAGATGAGGAAACCGAGGCTCAGAGGGATCAAGTCTTGCCACAGGGTAAAGCCAGGCTTCAAAGCCAGGTCTCTCAGACTCCTCCCTAAAATCGCAGCATCTGGCCCAGGAACGTGGCCCTGGCTGGGCCACCTCCCCTCCTCGGTACAGCCTGGGAAAGGCCGCTGCCTCCAGCCAGGAGACTAAGCCACACTGCCCGTCCGCCTGCCCCACCGGCGCCCGCTACAAACAACAGCGCCCTGCCCTCGGGCGGACCTCTGATCTCTGGGTTTGCAGCGTCCCCCAGGGCCTGGCCTGTGAAAGTGTCAAGGCAGAAAGGAGGGGGTATAGTGGGGGAGGAAGAGGGGAGCCAGGCAAACGATGGGGCCCCAGGGCCTCTCCAGGCCCGTGTCTGGGATCCTTCGGGAGATGGAGCGCGAAACTCGTACAACTACAGTTCTCGAATGCTCTCTTCGTCCTGGGCCCCGCTTTACCCCACACCACTTCCGGAGAAGGCCCTGCGACCTGCCTTCATGCACTGGAAATGTTCTGGGCCAGGGAGCTGCTCGGGGGACCCCGGTGCCCAGGCTGGGTCCTGCACTCCGGCCTGTCCCGAGTCTCTCCTGCCGCGCTCGCTCCCGCACGGAGCCCCTGCCGCCTGGAGCCGGGCCCTGGGAGACAGAGCTCGCCGTGGAGAGACAGGGGCAGGGCAGCAGGCCACACCTGGACAGGTGGTCAGCTGTGCGCCAGAGGCAGGCATAGGGACACGGGCACACACAGAGTCGGGAGGGCCACCACCGCCAGGGTAGAGGGGTACCTGAAGGGGCAGCAAGCCGACAGCTGGGCGGGGTGAAGGTGGGCAGCCAGGAGGGGAAACGCAGAGGCCACAGCGAGGCCAGACCACAGGAGAGGGCCTGGGAGGGCAGTAGGGTCTGGACGGCTCCAGCATCCTCCTCCACACAGGCCCTTACCGCCCATACAGCAGCCTGCAGACACGCACTGCGTCCATCACCCCACTCACCACCCTGCTGGGCTGTGAGCCCCCGAGGGCCACTCCTTGGTGCAGGGTTTGTTATGTGTCCTCCAAAAAGATACGGTGAAGTCCTAACCCCATACCTGTGACCATGACCTTGTTTGGAAATAGGATCTTTGCAAATGTTATCAGTTAAGATGAGGTCATACTGGAGCAGAGTGAGTCCTAATCCATATGAATGGTGTCCTTAACAAAGAGGAGAAGAGACACAGACGGACAGACACACAGTGATGACAGAGTTAAAGGGATGTAGCCACAAGCCAAAGAACACCAAGGATGGCCAGGATCTTCTCCCAGGGCCTTCAGAGAGAGCAGGGCCCTCCGACATCTGGAGTCTGGACTTCTGGCCTCCAGAGCTGTGAGATAACACATCCGTGTTGTTCTAAGCCCCACAGTGTGTGATTTGTCACCGCAGTCCTAGGGGGCTCATCCGGGGTTCCAGGGTGGAGCCCACTGGCTGGTGACCAAAATGGCAGCTCACAGCCCTCTCAGCTCTCACCTGCGCCCACCCCTGTTTCCCAGGGAATTTTCTAATCCATTCCTTTTACAACCCTGTGCCTTCAGGCCAAGACAATTCTAGAACCACGTGCAAGACGCTAGCAGGTAGTAAGGGGCTGTGGAGCTCCAGAAGAGGCTGTGGCATGGAACAAACACCTCTACCCCAAACAGTTTCCCCAAGAACTAAACTGTACCCCATAACTCCTGTCCAAAAAGCCTCAGCTTAGCTCAAGGTGACGAATGGGCTTTTCCAGACGAGTGACCCAACCACAAGAATTGTACCTTCCAGTTGGATTCTGAGCCCTGCATGAATTCCACTCCATCCTTGATTTCCGCTTTCATTTCGTGGATGTGGGCTATGGTGTGCACTGACCACGCGTCCGTCGGGTTAATAGACAAAGCCTGCAGGGGGAGGGGTGGAGAATGAGCGGTGGCCCCACGGATTAGCCAGGTGTTACGCGGGGGCTCCAGGATGAGTGTCAGGGGTTAGCAAGCTTGAGGACTGGACTCTAACTCAACAATACCCATCCCAACAATAAAACCAAAAAACCCAAACCAGTTGCCAAATCAGTTCCAACTCATAGTGACCCTATAAGACAGAGGAGAACTGCCCCATAGGGTTTCCAAGGAGTAGATGGTGGATTCGAACTGCCGACCTTTTCATGAGCAGCCATAGCTCTTAACCACTGTGCCACCAGGGCTCCCATGCCAACAGTAACAATAACAAAACAATAACCATGCCAACAGGAACAAAATAACTGGCCCAACAAGCAGCCTGGTCACCGTTCACCAGTCACGCTGGATTAATACACCAGTCCCAGGGTAGGTGCTGTCGTTCGCTGCCGTCAGGTGGGCCCCCAACTCACGGCGCTCCCACGCACAACGGAATGAAATGCTTCCTGGTCCTGAACCATCCCCACGATCGGCTGCACGTCAGACCGTTGCGATCCATGGAGTTTTCATTGGCTGATTTTCAAAAGTAGATCAGGCCCTTCTTCCTAGTCTGTCTTATTGTGGAAACTCCCCGGAAGCCCGTTCAGCATCACAGTGACACGAAGCCTTCTCTGACAGATGGGTGGTGGCTGTGCACGAGGTGCACTGGCCGGGTTTCGAATCTGGGTCTCCCACACGGAAGGCGGGAACTCTACCACTGAACCACCACTGCTCCCAACTGCCAAGTAGGTGTCATTGCCCATTTCACAGACGAGGAAACCGAAGCTCAGGGAGATTAAGCTACAAAGCTGGACGGCAGCAGAGTCATCCCCTTGGCCCTGCCTCCTGGCTACAGCTGAGTCACCTCCGGCAAGCTGTTCAGGCTCTCTGAGCCTGAGCGACCCCACAGCAGAGGGACCACGGATGGCACCTTACCCCGGGGGCTGCCGCAGAGAGGAAGCAGACGCTGCCCAGGCAAACACGGTGCAGGTCGTCCAGCGCTTCCAGTGGCTTCTGCTGCTTCTTCCTGCTCACATGCCTGCGGTGACCACACGTGTGGCTTTTCCTGGCTATCCTGGCTTACCACAGCATTCAGAACAGCAGACGCTCCCCTGCCGGGAGCCTTAGAGCAGCCCCTGGAGCAGACAGGACAGGGATTCTGCCTTGTGGGGACATCATCCTCACCCATGTGCCCAACACCTGTTTACCAGGTGTCTACCAGGCGTCTACCAATCGCCGGGCACAGAGTACGTCCTGAGGCTCTGAGAGGTGCCGGGCCGGCCAGTAAGTGGGGGGTCCATGTGAGCACAGGTCCCCCAACCGCATCACGTCGCCCCCCTATCCGTGCGTCAGTCTCCTCACACCTTTCACGGAAGCAGAGTCTGGAAGCCCCCAGCTCCTTGCCCTGGCCTGGCCCCTGTGGGGGGTTTAGGTGAAGCCCGTCCCAGCACCCCGGCCTCCTGTCCCCATTTTTTGTTCTGCCTGGCTCACGGGGAACCGGGAGATGAGTGGGTCTGTGGGGCCCATCAGAGGAGCAGCTTATCCAATAGGCAAGGTAAGCACAGTGTTTACCTTGCTCAGCAGATCATCTGAAGTGGACAATTTCACATTTTTTCGCCACATCAAAGATTCTGCTTCTAGGTATGGCTGGCATCTGCCTCTCTCCCAACCCCATAGCACCTTCCTACAGAATCAAAGCCTCTTTTCAAATTTACAGTCCGTGACAGGGCGGATGACCCAGTAAGCAAGGTAAGCATGGGCTTACTTGTGCTTACTTACTAATCTGTAGTGAACTAATTCCCACGGGTTTCACCACATCTGTAACTGTTCGCTACTGATGATCTGGTAAGCACTGTCTCACCTTGCCTATTGGATAATCCGCCCCTGGTGCCCACGGGGCGGGGTGGTGCTGGGCATGCAGGGACAGGCCGCTCTGCAGAGACTGCAGGGCACAGCCCGGCGAGGCTGGCTTTCCCGTAGAGGTGAAGGGTGGTCAGAGCGCAGCCACCCACCAGGTCCCACAGCTCCGCCCGTCTCTGATAGGTTCCTAATCAGCCTCTCCTTCCCTTAGAGCCTTCAAGTTCCCGGAGCAAAGTCCAGATGCTCAAAACCGCAACCGGCCAGCTTACAAGGCCCAGCAAGTCCGAACTAGCCCTCTCCCGCCTTTTCTCCTGGTGCCCTGCCCCACCCACCTGCGGCCCCAGCCTGGGCCTCTCTAGAACCTGCCGTGCCCACTCTGCTCCCTGCCCTCCCCAGCCCGGGGAACGCCTGCCCAGCTTGCAGACACCGGCCCCAGCACCGCTGCCTGGAGGCCGACCAGACCCCCGCGGACCAAGTGCAGCTCCTCCCACTGCCCCAGAGCCTGTGTGGCCACTGTCACCACCTGGGTCTTCTTGCCCTGTAACTGCCCGTGACGGTGCTGGCGGTGGGGTCAGAGTGCAGCCGCCGGCAGGAGGGGGGACAGCAGGAGAAAGCAGCATCAACTGGGGAGGGGGACCCCATTCCACCACTTCTTGCTCCCCATGAGGGAGGTTTGTGCCTTCTGGCTGCCCTCGGGGCGGGGGGCACATCTGTCAGCAGACAGACCCTTGTCCAGAGCTCTTGGGCTGTCCTACCAGCCCACCGGTGGCCCATGCACACCCCCCAAGGGAGGGCCCAGCAGCAATGCTCTCGAGGGGCCCTGCTGAGGCTGCCCCGGGTGGTGGTGCAGACCCAGGGTGTCAGGAAGCTGCGCAGACCCCCAGCCCCAGTTCCTGCTAAAGCAAAGAGCCCACCACCCTGAGCCTCGAGTCTGGGCTCCATCTCTGGAATCAAGGCAGTTTCAGTGACCCCATGGGCCCCATGAACCCCAGAGGGCACGGTCTCCTGGGGAGAAGACTGGGGGCTACCTACAGCCAGGTCTGGGGGACAAGTGCTGGCCAGGATGCTCGGAATTCATTTCCAGTCCAGGCTGCTTCAAGGGCAGGCTCCCGGGCAGATGGCCTGGGCGAGAACCACAGCTCTATCATCTCCGAGCTGTGGGGCAGCTCTGGCCTCGCTCTGCGCCTCGGCCCCTCCTCTGGGCAATCAGAGGTGGACAGCTTTCTGGCAGAGATTCTGTGTGGACTAGAGCCCAGCAGTGAGCTGCCACGGGAGCTGATATCGCCTCTCTTTACATGACACCCTCTCTGGGCCTCAGTTTCCGCCTCTTTGAGAAGAGGGGCTGGAGAAGAGGCAATTCGAGGGCCTGAGACTTCACAGCAGCTGGCTGCACAGGACACCTGCCCCCGGGCATGCTAGCGCAGCCTGCCAGTGGTCCTGCCGATGGCCACGTGAGTCACACAGACCACGGACAGAACACGGAGTCAAGAGCGTGCGGCCAGAGGATGCGCATGACCAACTCAACCCTGGCACTGCGTCTTTACCACGGCTGTGTCCTCTGTGATGGGGCCCTGGTGATGCAACGGTTAAATGCTCTGCTGCTAACTGAAAGGCTGGTGGTTCAAACCCCCCCAGTGACTCCATGGGGGAAAAGACCTGGTGTCTGCTCTCATAAAGACTACAGCCTAGCAAACCCTATGGGGCAGTTCTACTCTGTCATATGGCTTCCCTGTGAGTCAGAATCGACTCAACAGCAACCAACAACAACACATTCTCCATGAGCTTCATCCCTTCTGACAGGGGTGGTGGTCCAGGAGAAGGCCCCTACCCACTCAGGGAGGATGCCCAGTCAGGGCCAACTGGAACCATCACTCCACTCCCTGGACCTCTGGTACTGTCAGTCACGCCTAGAAATGTGGAGTTCGAGGAGGAAGAACCCACATTCATATACGCTTCTCCATCTACAAAGTTCTTTCCCATAGCACAAACTGGGGGATTTGGAGACAGAGCTGGGTGGAGTCCCAGGGCCATTTTGTGCAACACTGAGTGAGGATATGTGACTTCCGTGACCCTCATCTTCCTCACTGACCACCATGAATAATAACACTGTTTGCCATGTACCAAGCTGGCCAGGTCACATGTTTGCTGCACCACATGTTTGCCATGTCATGTGTTTGCCATTCCACGTGGCTCTGAGGACCATGGAAAGGCCACAGGGTGAGTCATGGGCACGCAGTGAAGCCCTCGACAAGTGACGGCTAGCACTATTAACACAGGGTGGGGACAGCCCTCCCAATAACTCTGAGGAAACGAAGAGAAAGGGAGTTGCTGGGGTCACACACCAACAGGCCCAGTCTCTGCCCCCCACTGGGAGGGCCCCTTGTGTTCTCTGCCCCACCCGGACAGCCACTCTGGAGGATCGGGCAGCTCGAGAAGGGTCCATTTACCTCCTTCGCGAGCTTTTCCGCCTGATCGTAGAAGTTGGTTTCCATCAATCCAAAAGAATAAATGCCTTTTACGTAGCTAAGAACAGAGAAAAAATAGCTTTAAAAAAAACAAAAAAAGGCACACGGGACATTTTTAGGCTGTGAAACTATTCTATGATACTGTACTGGGGGACACACGACACTGTGCATTTGGCAAAACCCACAGGACTGCACAGCACAGAGTGACCCTAGTGTAAGTCACAGACTTCAATTAATAACAACGTATCAATATTGGCCGGTCCACTGTAACAAATGAACCGCAGGAATGCGAGATGTTAATACTCGCAGAGGCTGTGTGCGGGGGAGAGGAGGCACACAAGAACTCCCTGTACTTTCTGTGCCATTCTTCTGTAAACTAAAACTGTTCTAAAAAATAAAGTCTAAAAAGAAAAACGACAGGGTGGATCTGTGTTAAAATAAATAAATAAAAAGCCGTCCACCATAGCAGCCATGGGCTACCCCATGGCCATGGGCCTCAACAAGGGCCCCAAGGTGACCAGGAACCTAAGCAAGCCCCAAGCTCGTGTGGGACATGATGTGGGAGGTGTGTGGCTTCGCACGCTGAGTGGTGCGTCATGGAGCTGCTCAAGGTCTCCGAGGACAAGCAGGCCCTCAAGTTCATCCAGAAAAGGGTGAGGACACACATCTGCACCAAGAGGAAGGGTGAGGAGCTGAGAAATGTCCTGGCCGTCATGAGGAAGGCGGCTGCCAAGGACTGAGCGTGTCCCTGTCCCCGACTGTTGTATCCCTGCCCCAAGTAATATAATGAAGTCTTTCCAAAAATAAAGAAAGAAAGAAGATGGCCTGGGACTGTTCAACGCTCACACACCCCAGCCAGGCACTGTGTCTCCTTAGTGAGTTGAGGCTTCCATTAGTGAGGGGTGATGTCACCTTTATCTTTGCACAACTGTCCCCAAGCCTAGCCTGTTTCCATGCAGGCCCCTCCATGATACACGTCCCTCCTCCTAAGACATAACTGCATGTCTCCACCAAGGACAAAGGCTTTCTGCTTGTCTGCCTGGTGACGGGCCGGAGGGGCACCTCCCCTGGGATGTCTTCATGACCCGCGGTGATCAGTGTCTCCTTGTTGCTTCCATAGCACTGTGTTCGGCCTCTGCCCTGGCCTGCACTGCACCCACTGGACCGCCGGGCTCCTGCCCAGACCAGGGATGCTGAAGGCAGGGGCTCAGCTGTCCAATTCGCTCCCCGCCCAGGCCCAGCCCCGGATGGGCTTGAAGACACTGGGCTGAATTAATGCCGACTTCCCTTTCGCATCTGTAACCACAGCATCTGAGCATCAAGGCGGTCACATGTGAAACGTGAGTCACGGGGTTCAGTGAAAAACAAGAGTGTGTGATGGCATTTCTATCTGAGACTCAGATGTCTTTACCACCAAGTATAGAAACAAATTCTCGCTTTTATTATCCACGGAAGCAATGTTGTCGAGCAGCAGCTTCCAAGCTTGCTTTTCTTTCTTCAGTATTTATTGAATACTTTATCATTGTTAGCTGCCAATGAGCTGACTCTAACTTCTGGTGACCTTGTGTCATGGATTGAATTGTGTCCCCCAAAATATCTGTCAACTTGGCTAGGTCATGATTCCCAGTACTGTATGACCGTCTACCATTTTGTCATCTGATGTGATTTCCCTATGTGTCGTAAATCTATCACAATGATGTAATAAGATGGATTAACGACAGTTACATGGATGAGATCTACAAGTTTAGACAGTGTCTTAAACCAATCTCTTTTGAGACATAAAAGAGAGAAGCGAGCAGAGAGACATGGGGACCTCATACCACCAAGAAAGCAGTGCCAGGAGCAGAGCGCATCCTTTGGACCTGAGGTTCCTGTGCTGAGATGCTCCCAGACCAAGGGAAGACTGATGCATCACGAGGACCTTCCTCCAGAGCCGACAGAGAAGGCCTTCCCGAGGAGCTGATGCCCTGAATTTGGACTTGTAGCCTACTGGACTTCTCTTTGTTAAAGCCATCCACCTGTGGTATTTCTGTTACAGCAGCATTAGATAACTGAGACACCTTATATACAACAGAATGAAACGTTGCCTGGTCCTGTGTCATGCTCACAATCACCAGCATGTTTGAGTCCATCACTGGAGCTACTATGGCTCCAGCTGTCCCTTGCTGGCCCTCTGCTTCACCACACATGATGTCCTACTGCAACGATGGATCCCTCCTGATGACGTGTCCAAAACAAGCAAGTCAGATAATATTTTGTTGTGATCCATAAGGTTTTCATTGGCTAATTTTTGGAAGTAGATTACCAGGCCTTTCTTCATAGCCTGTCTTAGTCTGGAAGCTCCACTGAAACCTGTCCACCATGGGTGACCCTGCCGGTATTTGAAATACTGGTAGTATAGCTTCCAGCATCACAGCAACATACAAGCCACCGCAGTATGACAAACTGACACACGGTGGTGGCCGAATGCTTACTGAGGTCATTTAATTGTCAACATGTAAGCACTGACTGGTGCTTACTTTGTGCCAGGTACTGTTGGGCTCTGGAGTCTGTTCATGCATTTGACAACAACCCTCTGATGAGGACTCAGTGGAGGTGATAACGTGTGGGGGTCATGACAGCTAGTCCCAAGCAGCCCAGGCCTCTCTCTACTCCCGAGCACACACAGAAGCGCCTTCCTGGTCAGCATGTGACCAGTCTGACCAATCACTTGGAAGTGGAGGATATCCCTTTCACTCTGAGCGCATAATTATCACTGTGAGTCCCCCAGGGACTCCCCTTTCTCTCTGCCTTAGCAACTGCCCTAGCCAGAGAACAGCTGCTTCATCAGCTGGGACCCAGAGGGAGACATGGCCCAAGTGCTAAGTCCCCAGCCCTCCCGTGATGGAGATGCCGCGAGTGTGAGAAACTTAGGTTGTAAAAAGCTTTGGAGAATCAGGTTTGGGGGATGCTTGTTACTGCAGAAGAAACTATCCCATCATGACTGGTACACAATTGTTGCTGTTATTAGGTGCCGTTGAGTCAGTTCTGACTTATAGTGACCCTATGCACCACAGAACGAAACACTGCTTGGTCCTGTGCCATGCTCACAATCGTTGTTATGCTTGAGCCCATTGTTGCAGTCACTGCGTCAATCCATCTTGTTAAGGGTCTTCCTCTTTTTCGCTGACCCTCTACTTTACCAAGCATGATGTCCTTCTCCAGGGACTGATCCCTCCTGAAAACATGTCCAAAGTATGGGAGACGTAGTCTCGCCATCCTTGCTTCTATGGAGCATTCTGGCTGTACTTTTTCCAAGACAGATTTGTTCATTCTTCTGGCGGTCCATGGTATATTCAATATTCTTCACCAACACCATAATTCAAAGGCACCAATTCTTCCGTCTTCCTTACTCATTGTCCAGCTTTCGCATGCATGTAATGCGACTGAAAACACCATGGCTTGGGTCAGGCGCACCTTAGTCTTCAAGGTGACGTCTTTGCTTTTTAACACTTTAAAGAGATCTTTTGCAGCAGATTTGCCCAATGCAATGCATCTTTTGAGTTCCTGACTACTGCTTCCATGGGTGTTGATTGTGGATCCAAGTCAAATGAAATCCTTGACAACTTCAGTCTTTTCTCCATTTATCAGGATGTTGCTTATTGGTCCAGTTGTGAGGATTTTTGTTTTCTTTATGTTGAGGCGTAATCCATACTGAAGGCTGTGATCTCTGATCTTCATCAGTAAGGGCTTCAAGTCCTCTTCACTTTCAGCAAGCAAGGTTGTGTCATCTGCATAACGCAGGTTGTTGACGAGTCTTCTTCCAATCCTGATGCCCCGTTCTTCTTCATATAGTTCAGCTTCACACAATGGTGCTGCCTGATTTACAGGATGGGGTGGAGATAAGGTAAAGAAACTGAAGCCTTTTAATGAAGGTACAGGCAGTCCCGGGATTTCCAAAGAGCTCTGTTCCTAAGTCTGTCTTTATGTCAAATTTTCCAGTCAGAACAGTTAGGTTTGGTTCATATCTAACGTCAGTTAGTCCAATGTTTGTCTTAGTGTATACTATATAGTGTACCTTTCTATATGTAAAAAACATTAAAGAAACACTTCCAGATGCAGTAAAACATCTTTAACGTAATAATACAGAAGTAATAATAATAATAATGTTTTGATGTGTGTTGCAAAGTAGTACCTGTTTGCTATTACAAACCATTGTACGTCCCTCGAATTTTAAATGTAATAGGCTTTACAGGGGTTGGCTTGTAACTACCGGTTACATGTAAGTCAGATTTTTGTAACTCGGGGACTGCCTGTAATAGCAATAATACTTTATTGATAAAATATAATGAAATGATGCAAAATTCCAGGTAAAATTCAATATCAATATACTTTGCATTTTACATTCCTATTCATTTTTCCTTGTTGAGAAAAATGGAATTAAAAGAATTAGAGGAAACAGCAATAGTGTTAACAAATAAGAATCTACGAATGGGTATATGGGTAGAGAGGGATGCTAAACAGGAGCAGACGGGTGCAAGGGAGCACACCCACCTGCAGATACAGGTTGGGTTGTGGGTATTACTGCATACACATTTGTGGATGCTGCAAGTATATTAAAATAGACAATAGAAGACACATGGGGCATAGTCATGGAAACTTCCTAGACATAACCAAACATCTCGTGGGGCGAAGTTACTAGGCTTGAAGGTTGAGCCCCATAGACTCGGGGGATATCTATGTCAACTGGCATTAAATAGTTCATAAAGACAATGTTCTACATCCTACTTTAGTGAGTAGTGCCAGGGGTCTTAAAAGCTTGTGAGTGGCCATCTAAGATACAACTATTGGTCTCATTTCATCCAGAGCAAAGGAGAGTGGAGAAAACCAAAGATTCAAGGGAGCAATTAGCCTAAAGGACTAATGGATCACATGAACCACAGCCTACATGACCCTGAGACCAGAAGAACTAGATAGTGCCCAGCTGCCACTACCGGCTGCTCTGATCAGGATCACAACAGAAGGGCCTGGAGACCAGGAGAAAAATGTAGAACAAAAATCAAATCCATATAAAAGACCAGACTTACTGGTCTGATAGAGACTGGAGGAACCCCTCAGACTATGGCCCTAAGACACCCTTCTAACATGGAACTGAAGCTATTTCCAGAGACTACCTTTCGGTCAAACAACATACATGCCTACAAAATTAATAAAACCCGAGAGGAATGAGCTCCTTAGAACAGCTGACTATATGGGACCACCAGGGCAAAATCTGCCCAAGAGCAAAGACAAGAAGGCAGGAAGGGGCGGGAAAACAGGAGGAAATGTAATGGGGAACCCATGAGGGAAGTGGGGAGAGCGCTGACACATTGAGGCGACTGTGACCAATGTCTTGGAACACTCTGTGCACAAATTGCTGAATGGGTAACTATTTTGCTCTGTAAACCTTCACCTAAACCACAATAAAATATTTTCAAAAAAGAAGAAGAGTCCCTCTCACGAATGAAGCAGGAACACGGGAAAGAATGCAGGATAAAGCTTAAGGGTGAGGCCAAGGGAGATGCCATGTTTTTAGGGTAGGGCCAAAAGAGTCTTACATTTTTAGGACACAGGAGAGACATTAAGAAGTAGAAACGACCCCTGAAATTATTGCCCTGAGATAATCTTTAAACCTTAAACCAAAAATATCCCCTGAAATCGTCTTAAAACCAAACAATAGCTTAGCTTAACTAGTAAAGAATGTCAGCCTTGAACATTATGCTCTTTTAAGATTTATCTCTATGGGATCAAATGCACTACAGCAATTGGAAAGATTAGATAGGAAGCTTAGGGGGCAGCGAGTTCATGTTAATAGGGGAGGAACAACTCGGGAAAGGAGGGTGCGGATGTTTGCACAGCTCGAAGAATGTCATCAATGTCACTGAATTGTACATGTAGAAACGGTTTAATTGGTGTATGTTCTGTTGCGTACATTTTCAACAACAACAACAAAATAAAATAACTATTAAAAAGGAAAAAAAGATGTAGACATGATGTGATTTCCAGCTGGTACCTACCTGCTCAGGGGGACGTCAGGTGTCCAGAATGGGTAAACTCGAGCAACAGAATCTCGCATCTGTTCCTGGTAGCCCAGGTAAAAATAGGTATCATGGGAAAATTTCAGGGCCAACATGTCTGTTGGGTGGTCCCGGAGAATCTGCTCCCAGAAATCACAGGCTTTCGGAAGGTTCCTGGAAGCCAACAGAGACGGGTCAGCAACCCTGAACACGCAGTTCACACACAAGGCAGAGCGAGCGGCATCGCGTCTTGCCAGTGTCAGGGTTTGCAATGAATTGGTTAAAAAGAAAATCAATTCCCTTGGCTGCTAACCAACAAGTCGGCAGCTGGAATCCACCAGCCGCTCCTTGGAAATCCTATGGGGCAGCTCTACTCAGTGCTATAGGGTCGCTATGAGTTGGAATCGACACGACAGCAATGGGTTTGGTTTTTGGTTCTATCTTTTAGATAATTCTGTGATATGGTTCTGTTATTTGTGAAATGGAAATAATAACCAATTTATTGAATGAAACAAAAGAAGGTGCTTTGAATGCTTCATTGGGAACCCTGGCCAACAGCTTCCTCACTGGACAATCACCACAATAAAGTGGCAGGCAGGACGTGTCCCACGAGGTAGGAGGACAATCCCTCCCGGCCCCCTTCCTACAGTGGGTGGGGCCAGCTGTGGCATCACGCAGCGCGGCCCCCATGCCAGGCCTGGCCCAGGGAGGCCTCTCACCCCTTGGCGAACGTCTCCACCGCAGACACGTGCAGCCGCTCCCGCTGCGTCAGTGGCTGGGTTTCCGAAATCTCCACCATCACCTTCAGGGCCTGGGCCAGCTCTGGGCTCAGCCGCACGGAGGTCCCGGTGCCGATCAGCAGGAGGCCATTGGAGATGACGTGGCCCATCGCTGGCGGGACGGTGGGAAACAGCTGGGGATTCCCATGGTCCAGCCCACACCTGGCCCCGCGTGTGACATCAACAACCCACGTCCCAGGGGGTGCAAGCCAAGTGGAGGGGAGCTGTCACCTGCGCCCTCTCCCAACAGCCCACCACATGGCCTTTGCCCTCACCGCACATGTGGAGGGAGCAGCCACCCCAAAAGCATCCTGGATTATACAGGTAGTTCCACAACGGGGGCATTTGGGGCACACAGATGTCTACGGCACACCCACCCCGGGTGGACTGGTTAGGGGCCACCTGTGGGCTCCTGGCCTGGGTTTCCCTGACCAGCTGGTGTTGTCACTAGGATGGGCACACACCTGGCCGGGGACCCTCGGTGGATGCTGTTCAGGGTAGAGGTCCCTGAGGCACTTACCGCAGCCTTGTGCAGGCCCTCAGGCTCTACCTGGGCTTCCCGGCCCCCACCGTAACAGAGGCAAGGTGCACACTGGGGTTTGGAACTCAGCTGCTAGCCCAGGACTAAGACCCAGGACCCAGCTTCTGCCCTGGGGCTTGGGTCTGCTCAGAGCCTCAGCTACTGGCTCCTCCCACAGGCCACTTCTGCCTCCACCCGATTAGTAAGAGCCTCCAGCCCTCAGCAGTGAGGTGCAGAGGAGGGGGTCCCTGCTGCTCTGCCCCCTCATCAGCCCTTCTCCCAGGCCCAGAACCTTACCCCACACTGGGGCCCCCAACCTGAGGTTGGTGCACCGTGCTGAACTCTCCACGCCCACTACTCATGTGCAGAACTCCACCCCCACCTGGGCTGCCAGCCTCTGCAGCAGTCAGTCCTCCCCACCCCAGCCCAACGGCGTCCGTGCGGTCAGGGAACGAGATGGACTGGATCCATGAAACTGGGCTCCTGACCCGGGAAAGCAGTTACTCACCGAAGGCTGGGTCTGCTTCTTTGAGCTTCGACATGCAGCCCTCGAGGCCACCAAGGCTCTTGTCGTTGGTCCATTTGACACACTGAAATAAAAAGACAGAACACAGCTGTCATGGGGAGGCCTTCATTTATGTTAATGAAGGCATGTAACTAAATCTGGACTTTGCTTTCTTTCTAGAATGTAGAGTATTTTCTGGAGTCTAACCCAAAGAAAGCATAACTTGGTTGACCTCATATGAAGAGATTAAATGCATGCAGGGTGAAGCATAATTTCAAAGAAATGAAACATCAAAAGGAAGGTTCTTTCTGACAGGTAATCTGCTACACAATGTCAGCTTGTTCAGCTCTAAAACCAAAAAACTGTTGCTGTCAGATCGATTCTGACTCATAGCGACCCTACAGGACAGAGCAGAACTTCCCCATAGGGTTTCCAAGGAGCAGCTGGTGGATTCGAACTGCCGGCCATTTTTGGTTAGCAGCTGAGCTCTCAACCACTGTGCCACCAGGGCTCCTCTTTGGCCCTAGAGGGGCCTTGAAATCAGGGCCATTGCAGGTACTACGGTGGGGGCGTTGCTACTTCTTATGAATTAAGCTGTGTCCCCCAAAAAGATACGTTGAAGTCCTGACCCTTGGTACTGGGGGACGTGGCCTTGGTTGGAATAGGGTCTTTGCAGATGTTAGCAGTTAACGTGGGTCGTACTGGAGCAAGGTGCGTCCTGATCCCACATAAGTGGTATATTTTTAAAGGTGGAGAACAGACACAGTGATGAAGCCACACAGGTGGAAGACGCATTTGAAGATGCATCAGTAAGCCAAGGAAGGCCTGTATACGCCTGGGGCTACCAGAAGCTGGAAGATACAAAGCAGGATCTTCTCCTGGAGCGACAGAGGGAGCATGGCCCTGCCTATGCCCTGAATCCAGCCTCCACGCCTCCAGAACGGTGGAACAAGGCATTTCTGTTCTTATAATCCACCCGGTTCACGGCAGTTTTCTATTGCAGTCCTGGGAAACAGATACACTGCTCGTTACTCGTTCCTTTAAAAACAAATCACCACAATAAACAGCTATTGTAGAGTAGTTGACAGAGGCACAAAAGCTGAATGACAAAGCCTTCCATCTCATCGCCAGTTCTGGGTGAAGGGAAACGTGTGGGAGCCGGACGGGGACTGGACGGCCTTGCTTTGCCAGGTCTCCGTTTTCCGCCTTTGAGGGGATACAGCCTCACTTTTCTCTCTCTCCTTTTAGCGGAAAAGATTTGCATCTTCCTTCTCTGACAGGTTTCTGCCTTACACAGGTTCCGGCTTTTGCAGGTTTTACTGTATTTGTCTCTCGTCCCTTTTTTACATGCATATTTTAAAAAAAAATCCTAACACCGTCATAGCACACTGGGTTTTAAAATGGGCCCTTACAGTTGTATGAGCTACTCCCGCACAGAAAGCGCACCTGTACTCTAACAAGGTACACGGGCACAGAGACTCACGGAGCCCGGAGCCCGTGTTCTGATGCAGGATGAAATAACAATGGGGACACACCCGACAGAATGTGCACAGGCTGGGAGCATGCGCTGTTACTGACCTGAAGACCGTGCCACGTGCCAAGCCAACCTGCTGCTGTCGAGTGGATTCCAACTCATAGCAACCCAACAGGGCAGAGGAGAACCGCCCATAGGGCTTGTAAGGCTGTAATCTTTTTTGTTTGTTTGTTTGTTTATTGTTGTAATTTAAGTGAAAGTTTACATTTCAAGTTAGTCTCTTAGACAAAAATTTATACATACATTGTTATGTGACCCTAACTGCTCTCCCCATAAGGTGACAGCACACTCCCACTTTCCACCCGATTCCCCATGTCCATTCAGCCAGCTCCTGACCCTCTCTGCCTTCTCATCTCACCTCCGGACAGGAACTGCCCATTTAGTCTCATGTATCTGCTTGAGCTAAGAAGCACACTCCTCACAAGTATCATTTTATGTCCCACAATCCAGTCCAATCTTTGTCTGAATAAGGCTGTAATCTTTATGGAAGCAGACTACCACATCTTTCTCCCAAGAAGCGGCTGACCTTTTGGTTAGCAGCCTAGCACCTAACCACTGTGCCACCAGGGCTCCTGGTAACAAACCAAGCTTCATAAACGCCAACAAGGGCACCGCTTCTCTCAGTGGGCGTACCTGGGTCAGGATGGCATCAAACAGCCTGCAGGCCTCGTTGCTTGGGGTGGAGAGCGGTAGCCCGGCATCCTTCCAAGCCTAGATGGAGAAACGCGGACGGAGCAAGACAAAATATCGGGCCTTGTTCCATGTGGTCCTTTCAAACATAAATACATGCAAACCTCAACCCACAATTCCCCTGCCCCCCAGATCTCCAAATGCCCAACAGTTGTGCAGGAATGGGTGTCAGTCTGATGAGTCCTTGTGGGGCGGACACTGCACCCCAGATTTCACAACCACAGTGCAGACCAGAGAGAGCTGAGCCCTTGTTGGGCAGATCCCAATTCGAATCCCATCTGCGTGGAAAAGCTGTGTGCCCTCTGGCAAGACCCTGGCGCTCAGACCCTGACTTCCCCTCCGTAAAATGGGGTTCATGAGGATGGAATGGGCTACCGGGAGCGTCTGAGCCAGGAAGAGCCCTTTAGGAGATGGGAGTTACTGGTCATGATGATGCGGGCACCGGACACCTCGCCGGACAGCAAAACGTCTAAGGCGCGTGGGGGAGCAGAAGGGAGGCTGGCCTTTCCATGCGTCGGGCGCAGCATGCACTGCTATCCACCAAAATAAACTCCTCTCATCTCTCCACCTTATCAGACGCACTCAGACCTTCAAGTCTGTCAGCGAAACATCTGGAGGCTGTTGGACTTATGCAAGGTAATGGCCACCTCTGACATCCTGCCAGAGGCCCGCAGGTAACAGCGCAGTGGTGAGGGTCGAGTATGGATTGTGTGGCCGTGGGCAAGTCTCCTCGCCCTCTGCCCCCTGACCTCCCTCTTCCTCATCTGCAAAATGGGCGCAACCCTGGGCAGGTGACGCAGGAGACTTGGGCCCTCACAAATGCCCGGCGCCAGGCCGTGGTTACCGAGCTGAGCCCCTAGACCTTCCTGGTTTCCCCAGTGGGCCCCATAGGAAAGCCTTCCGCTTCCTTCGGTGCGCGTTCGCGGGGGCGCCCGTGCGCCCTGGGCCGAAACCCGAGCCCCGCTGCGCGCCCCCAGCCTCTGCGCGCCCCAGCCAGGCTTTTGGCCTGCGCCTCAGGTCTGATTTCGCCGCTCGCGGGCCTGACCTCAGGGACTCGCGGGGGCGCGCGGGGGCGCGCGGGCTCTCGGGCCGCGGGGGGCGCGGGGGCGCGGGGACGCGGGGCCTCGGGTACCTGGCAGTCTCGCAGTGACGCGGGCTCGACCATGGCGCTGCTGCAGCTTAGATCCCAGGGGGTTCTGCTCACACGCCGCCGCGGCCCTCTGGATAAGCTAGGCCCGAGGGGCGGGGCGGCCGCGCCCCCCTCGCTCAGTGGTCGGGATCGGACCCACCCGCGCGCTGGCCTGGGGACGTGGGTCCGCCCCCAGCCCGCCGAAAACTCTGGGGCCTCCACCTATACGCCCAGGGGACGCTGGGGGAGGGGCCGCCGGCTCGCCCCTTAGGCACGGCGGGAACCCGGACCAGGCTCAAGGGGCCTGCTCTGAACTGTACCCTCTTGAGTGCGCGCCTGCCTTCCTTGTCAGATTAGGATCCCGGGCAGGAGAACCAGGCTGCGGCCCTGGGGGACTTGGAGGTGTGTGCACGGTCGTGGGCCGCGCCTACTGCCCTGCCTGGTCTTGCCCTCTACCCGCCCCCCCCCCAAAAAAAAAAATATCTTGCCAGATTCTCCTTCCTGCCTTGGACCCTCTTGGGAGACGGCCACAGTCAGAGTCCCTGGGGAGGCAGAGGAGCCCTGGGACAACGGTCACTTTTAAGTTCTATGTAGTCTCCCACTTGGAAGCCACACACACACTCACAAAGAACATTTCTGGCCAACCTCTCGTGGGCCCGGCTGTTCTGTGATATCCTGCCGGTGCCCTGGGTCCCAACCCCTCTGCCTTCTAGAGTACTTTGCGGGGAAAGTATTACTGCTCCCTCCTGCAGTATCAATTTCACTCTCTTAACTGGAGTTCTGCCATCAGCCACAAACCTTCTCTGGCCTGGTCTGCTCTCCCCACCCCACCCTCCCGGGCCGAGACTAAGATGCAAGAGGGAGGTGAGCCGGGCAAGTGCAGGGTCCATCCCAACCTCATTTAAAATGCCAGTATTACTGTTTGTTCATCAAATAATGGATTTTTCGCATTAATTTTGATTTTCAAAAATACTGCATTAAAATATTATATGTCTTATATAAGAGCTAAAACCATAAAACTCTCAGAAGAAAACACAGCAGTAAATCTTCATGACTTCGGATTTGGCAAAGGATTCTTGGATATGACACCAAAAGCATGAGCAATAAAAGAAAGTAGATAAATTGGACTTCATTAAAATAAAAAACCTTTGTGCATCAAAGGACACTGTCGAGAAAATGGAAAGATAACCTACAGAATGGGAGAAAACATTTGCAAACCATTTATCAACAACATCCAGAATGAATAAAGAACTCCTACAACTCAACAACAAAAAGTCCAATTTAAAAATTGGTAAAAGAAATTTAATTTTTAAAATTTAAAAATTAAATACGTATTTCTCCAAAGAAAATATCAAATGGCTAACAAACCCGTAAAAAGATGTTCAATGTCATTAGTCATGAGGGAAATGAAAATCAAAGCCGTAATGAGATACTACCGTGCATCTGCTAGGATGGCCATAACAAAAACAGAAACGGGAAATAAAAAGTGCTGATGAGGCTGTGGAGAACTTGGAACTGTCCCTCACACGCTACTGGTGGGAATGTAAAATGGTGCAGCTGCTGTGGAAAACAGCTCGGCGGTTCATCAAGAAGGTAAACATAGAGTTAAAGGATCCAGTAACTCCATTCCTAGGTATACATGGTACCCAGGAAAATGGAAAGCAAGGACTCAAAAAAAAAAAAAAGACTTGTACATGAGTGTTCCCAGTAGCACTACGCACAATCGGCAAAAGGTGGAAACGACCCAGATGTCCATCAACGGATGAATGGATAAAATATGGTCTAGCCATACAATTCCACAAATGTATGGAGGGTCCGCGATAAAGAGGAAGACCCTCAACGAGATGGACTGACACAGTGGCTGCAACAATGGGCTCAAGCATAACAACGATTGTGAGGATGGTGCAGGACCGGGCAGTGTTTTGTTCTGTTGTACACAGGGTCGCTATGAGTAGGAACGGCCTCCACAGCACCCAACAACAACAAATCCATGCAATGAAATATTATTCCGGCATAAAAAGGAATGAAGTCCTTATACATGCTGCCACATGGATGAACCTTGAAGACAGGAAGCTGAGTGAGAGAAGCTAGACACGAAAGACCATATGTTGTATGAGTCCATTGACATGAAGGGTCCAGAACAGGCAAATCTATAGAGACAGAAAGCAGACTGGCGATTGCCGGGGCTGGGGGTAGGAGGAATAAGGAGTGACTGCTGATGGGCACAGAATCTCCTTTGGGGGTGATGAGAATGTTCTGGAACTCGACAGAAGTGGTGGTTGCACATTTGGAATGAACTAAATGCCACTGAATCGTTCACTTTAAAATGGCTGATTTCACATTACGTGAACTTTACCTCTATACAACAAATATTATTTGTCTGGATTAATGAGATTTTTGGCACCTTACCCCCTTAAATTTTTTTGCCTGAGAGGAGTGCCTCCTTGATCCCCAGCCCAGTGTAAACTGGTACCTCCATTTGGAGAACGGTCTAGTAGTACGTGGCTGGTAAAGATGAAGATGCCCGGATCCCTAGGCCCAGCCCTTCCTCTCTGGCACGACCAAAAAAACCCATTGCAACAGAGACCCTATAGGACATGGTAGAACTTCCCCATAGGGTTTCCAAGGCTGTAATCTTTACAAGAGCAGACTGCCACATCTTTCTTCCACGGAGTGACTGGTGGATTGGAACCACCAATCTTTAAGTTAGCAGCTGAGCACTTAACCGCTGGGCCACCAGGGCTCCTTCCAGCTCGACCAGGAGCCCCCAAAAGGCCAAGAAGAAAACCGTAGTTGCAGGGACGGATTAAAAAAGGTTGCAAAACCCATGTGAAAACTTTCACTACAGATTACTAAGTAAACACAAGGAAGCCCGTGTGTACCTTGCTTCCTGGTTAATGTGCCCCTACAAAGGTAGCAAGGAGGCCTCCCACAGTGACCAGGGAGACTGGGGTACGAAAGGGTGCAGGTTGAGAGGCTGCAAGGAGAGTGTCTTTGGAGACCATCTTCGATGTGATGCCTTTTCCTTCCTCTTCCCCTCACCTGTGCAGAGTGACAGGGCCTTCCTGGAGGCCCCTTGACCTGTGCCCTGGAGGGCCTGGGCCCAAGCTGGTGTGGGCTGGTGGCAGTGGCTCTGAGTTAGGGGCAGATCAGGTCAGCAGGAAGGGTGCCTGTGGTTCCTCTGGCTTAGAGGTGGCCTTGTTAGGGGGAGGAGGCGAAGGGAGCAGCTTTTATCCAAGAAGGTCACCTGGAGATACACTTGTATTGTTGTCTGGTGCCATCGAGTCAATTCCAACTCATAGAGACCCTATGTACAACAGAACAAAGGTCACTATGAGACAGGAATCGACTCCATGGCAATTGGATTTTTTTAAAATAATATATTCTCTCAATAAAATGCAGTTGTGAAAACAGACAAAGTTGCTAATGGGATGGAAACACAACAAATTCAGTGATCTCTGACCTCATTAACGAAGGTGGCATTCAATAACAGGATAGCCTTAGATATTTTTATTAGCCCAACCAAGAAGGCGGAGTCTGCACTGAAGCTAATACCACTTGCTGCATTTGGATAAATAACACAGGAGCAGTAGAACAGGATATACATAGAATTAGATAGCAAGCTATTTGGTTGCACATTGTAACGCCATGACAAACACCAGATTTATTTGGTTGGTTACAATCAGGAAAAAGTACATAAATCACTGGCAAGGAATAGTAATATTCTTAGTCTGCATCTTGATAGTATTAGGCATAATAAAACTTATCTTCTATTGTCTTACACACTTAAAAGGCAAAAGAAAGCCTTGGGCTCATTTCAGCAACCTTCAGCCACCACTCCTTGAAAACTCTATGGAGCAGTTCTACTCTGTCCTATATGGTTGCTATGAGTTGGAATTGACTCTACGGCGATGGGGTTTTCTTTCTTTTTTCACATAAACAAATGAAGCAGTGCACAAAAGACCGGCATATTTTCCACTCTGATCTTTTCTATTAGCATGTAGTTAATAGCAAGATTTGTTGGACCAGTGAAGACCCTCCTGCCTGCCGTTACTGAACCCTGTAACAATGATTATTAAGAAAGACAATTTCAAAATGTAGAATCAAGATGCGTTAGCAGTTTTTAGCGAAACTGTGAAAAAGGGAAGCTTTCAATGATTTTACCCATTTGTAATATTAATATATACTGATGACTCTGTAATGTTCCTTGGACTCAGACAGGCCTGGGTCTGGCAGCATTTTGTCTGTGTTCCCACTTTTGCTTACTCTGTAATATTCCTTGGACTCAGACAGGCATGAGTCTGGCAGGATGCTTGTCCATTTCCCACTTTTGCCTCTTTGAACATGTGCCAAATAAAACTTTTGTTTTATTTTTTTATTGAAATTTAGATGAAGGTTTACAGAACAAACTAGCTTCTTACTGAACAGTTAGTACATATATTGTTTTATGGCATTGGTTAACAACCCCTTGACACGCCAGTACTCTCCCTTCTTGACCTTGGGTTCCCTGTTACCACTTTTCCCGTCACCTCCTGCCTTCTAGCCCTTGCCTTGGGCTGGTATTCCCCTTTAGTCTCATTTTGTCCTATGAGTCTGTCTAATCTTTGGCTGAAAGGTGAACCTCAGGAGTGACTTCAGTACTGAGTTAAAAGGATGTCTGGGGGCCATACTCTCGGGGTTTCTCCAGTCTCTGTAAGGCCAGTAAGTCTGGTCTTTTTTTTTTTTTTTTCTTTTTTGAGTTAGAATTTTGTTCTACATTTTTTTCCTGTCTGGGACCCTCTGTTGTGATCCGTGTCAGAGCAGTCAGTGGTGGTAGCTGGGCACCATCTAGTTGTACTGGACTCAGTCTGGTGGAGGCTGTGGTGGTTGTGGTCCAGTAGTCCTTTGGACTAATCTTTCCCTTGTGTCTTTAGTTTTCTTCATTTTCCCTTGCTCCTGAAGGGGTGAGACCAGTGGAGTATCTTA